TGGGGAATGTCACAACCATCTCATATGCATTCCAGTTCAAAGGTTACAGTATGGTGTGACTTCCAGAGGGCCCTCCCACCGCAGCTCGCACCTGCCTCCTCCCGGAGAGGGCCGTTCTTCACTCCAGACGTCGGGAGATACCGTGACTGGAATTAGGGAGTCGGAGGGAGGGGGTCAAAGGTCGAAGGTTAATGTCTGCTGACACTCCGCCTCCCTCCTTCGGAGACAATCAGGCGTCTGAATTTAAGCTCTCCTATGTTTGCACTTCAGAGCTCAGAGAGCGCCAAGCCAGAGCTGACCTTTGACCGCGTGTTCATATGTTCTGCGTCTGTTTCTGCTGCGTGGGTAATTTTAAATAGTCATGGGGATACTGTATTAGTGTGTTTTCTTTAACATCTCTAACAAGGCCTGAGGGTCAGGAAGCTTCTTTTCTGACTGGGTGAACAAATCAAATCTGCATAGTTCATCCAAGGATCTCAAGAATAATCTGCCCCAGTTACCACCAAGTGAACTCACACCAACGCAGAAGGTGAATCACAGAGAAGTTGGCCAAGTCACAGTATTATACAGATGAAAATATCAGGTAGTGCTTTGGCATATATGTGACTTTACTCTTTGTTGTCTTTGTCTGCTGAGTAAACCTCAAGCGTTTTAACTTTTGTTTTATAGATCTACACTGCGTTATAAAGGACACATGGTTTCTAAACTACGTTACAGACGAAACTGTAAGTGCGCTCTAGAGTTACTAAAGGCTTGTCAGTTTGGGTAAAAAGCAGCAAACGTTACAGTTCAAAGAGTCATTTTCACCTTTGCTCATATTAAATAAAATGTATCTACAGTCATATTTAAGTACATTTGCTTATGCGTTCCAGTGAAACTCATTGGAACGTGACATTTAACATTACAATATTACATCTGACCAATTAAACGACATTTTTAATCCAGAAATGTAACCTAAAAGTATATTTCATCTCTGCTTAAAGGCTGTCAACTTTAAATCTAACAAATGACCCTCACTGGAACACATATTCCAATTTTTTGAATTTAACTGTATAGAAAATGTGTTGAAGTTTGTCTTTTTAGAACAATACACTGCAGTCTTTTGATGTGCCATTATTATTGCTAGTATTAATACTTTTTGTTGTTGTTGTTTTACTGCTCCACATACTGATAATGTCGTTCGTATTACCATTTTTGCTCACACACTCTCAAACACAATCATATGCACAGTTAATAATACTCATTCTTTGCAACACAACACTGTTTTTTTTGTTAGTTCTGTGATTGTATTTTGCTTTCTTTAGTGTGATGTATCACTCCATAGGTTTTCTGCTTCGATATTAAATAAAGTTTAACAAAAAAAGAACATTACATTGCAGTGTTGCCTACATATAAAATCATTGCTTAGTTCTATAAACATTTTGTTGTTTTAAGTCATGAAGAGCTACTTTAGAGGGCCGACAAGCGCTTCAGAAGCTGCAGGTTGCAGGCCCCTGGTTTTGAATGGACTGGAGTAACTGCAATCTTCAACTCTGCTAAATGTGTATCATTTTTCTTCCGCCTCACAATTGTGCCCGGCACTATTTTGATCTGTCACATAAATGCATATGACTCATTAAAAATACTGAAGCCTTTTATGTGAACTAGCATGTGGGTTTTGTTTGGCCGCGTGTTTACTTGCAGTCCGTAAGGAACGCTTTCAAAAGTTAAAGAGCAACGTCTCACCTTGTGTGTAATTAACACTTAAATGTATTCTTTCTCCTCCAGTGAGTATGCAATAGACATTTATTACACAATCAGCTACATCCCACAAATAAATAAAAATGTGCCTAAATGTTTTTTTTTCTTTCTGTTTCTTTTTTTTTTTCTTTGTCAGCCACAATTTGTCCCGACCCTGGAGGTCAAAGGCCAAACTTTCCTGAGCCACATTTCTGTGGAAAAGCCTCGGGGGGCAAAGTTCAGTCCGCCCCGGGGTAGTGGCAGTGGGTTTGATGAAGGGGAGGATATTGTATCTCCATTTATGTGGCATTCCGGGTGGGGGCCTGGGGGTTAGAGTTCAAAGTTGAAAGGTCGCTGCAGGTCGGAGGTCACAAGTTGAGATAGCATCCAAACTGCTGAGCCAAGTGTGCTCATCTGACTCCGAAGCCGTCGTGTCAGACCCCCCACCCCCGCCCGGCGGGGTCCCGGGGCCGCAATCAGGAGGCGGCAGTAAACGTGGCAATGCCAACTTTGTTTTATGTAACGCGTTCTGCCCGGGACTTTGATCGCACTTTTAACTGCTGTTCCAATCAAAATGCAAATTGAATGTAACACCTACTGCGAACAACAGCCTTGTAAAAGAAAACTATCCGGTTTACCTCGCTGACGTGTTGAGTGCTGCCTCTGTTTATATTACTGCCAATGAACTGAATTACTGTTTAAACACCACGGCAGGGTTACGGTAGGTTAGGAGGCACAGTTTCCAACTGGCTGAATACAAGTGGCCAATAACACAGCATGATGTGATAACACAGACGTGGGAGGAGGAGCACACACACACACGCACACACACACACACAAACTCCTACACACATGCTCATATTCGCTATCCCCCCAACCCCCGCCATCCTGGATTTGAAAAGGGAAACAGAGACGAGGATGGCGTTGGAAGTAGGTTATGTTGTTGTGTTCTTATTCGTGAGAACACTGACGTTCCCCGGGCTCCTTAGGGACATTTTGTTCAAGGCCATGTTGAGATGGCAGACTGCAGGCGAGCGGACCTGATAGCACAGATTAGCACAGGATGACAGAGGGAGAGAAAAGCATCACTTATAATCGCTCTATCGAACGCTTAGCGTTCACGCCGATGACGGCGACGTTTGCCGGGAAGGAAAATGTGACGTTTGGGATCATTCGGAGAGTCTGTGTGGCAGAGCATCTGCTCCTTGGGAGCGACACCTCGCCCCGTCACACCGAAGTGATACGACGCACTCACACCTGGGGGCCAACTCGGTGCCTTGTTCAAGGGCACCTCAGCACTGTTTATGTTGTTCATTTTCTCCACTTGGTCAGTGTGCGCCGAGGCAGGCTGTAAATCTCCACTTCTTTGGCAGATATATTCTTTTAACTCTCAGAGTTTGGAGCCCGTCCAAGGAGGAGCCAAATGATTTGTTTAGAGCTGCTGACACGCAGGTTCTCTGGGGCACCTCCCACTTTGTTTAGCTTAAAGACTATTTCAGTAGGCCCGTTTGGTACGAAAGCGGGTGCATTGAGATGAGCCGTCAAATCTTTCCTCTGGTCAGAAACTGATCATTCTCCTCAGAATTCATTGGGAGTTCTGCAAGTATGATGCATCATGTCTGACGGACAGATGGATAGATACTCCTACTTTCCCATGAAGTAAACATGGATGCTGCTACAGCTGCACTAAAAAACCAACAGGACTGACCTTGTGGTAGATGGAGCAGAGATCTACTGATGATTTTTTTCCCCCAGCTAATCTTTAGTTCCAATTTTCTGAGTTTTGAGGCACTAGTTCCAATTATTCCCACTGCTGCGTCAAAGAATGCGCTCCTAACCTTCATTTGGATTTTATTGGACTTACAAGGAGTTCCTTAAAAGATACATTGTTGACGCATTTACACACCAAAATTGGTAGAAGGTCTAAGTGCTGATGCATTCATTGAATTAAAAAAAACCCCAAAAGTATTCACAGGAGATTAGGGAACACAGCTTCCTGCTAAGAGCTGAAATTAACAAAAACTTGAGATCATTTTTTAAAAATGCTTATACCTGCCTATTTTAATAGTTCAAACACCAAATATACCTTAATGTGTATATTCACACACAGTGGAAACCATCTTACTACTACCACAGAAGCTGCATAATATATAATATTAGTTATATTGCACAGGTAAAATCCATTGGAAGGTGTGACTCAACTGTATCTGAACTGCTGATGATCCTTCAGAGCAAGTCATAGGAAAACTGGCAGAGTGATGGAATAACAAATATGGAAGTTATTCATACCAAGCTATGGCAGTTTAAAGGGTTAAAAAGGCAACGTGTGGGTAAGAAATGGGGGCAAACTGATTTGTAGCCACTTGTAGAACTTTTTTGTATTTTTTTTAGGGCAGTTCTCTGAGATTAGGAGACTACAAATTGCTACATAACCACCACTGTATGAAGTTGCACGCAGACTGGAACGTACCTAAAAAAGGAAAAAGCTTCAAATTGTTTGAAACATGTGCTACATTTGAAACATTAAACCTTCAATAATTGTTTTTTTTTTTTTCAAGAATTGTTTGGATGTAATAAATCTCTCACAAAGTTATTTTTCTGTTTATCCTGGAGAGTTGACAAACAGGTGAACTATCCTCATTTAGGCTGTAGTTCAGTGGACTTTAAAATAAGTTTCTTCCTGGTCAGAAGTAATTCATTTCCACTGTCGCCACATTATTTGCTTAGGATTGCTGCAAAATCAACTACTAAAAGGAGTCAACATAGAGATGGCCAATATGGGTAAAAATAATGATTTAATAATTGAATTATGATGGACTATATCTAACAGACTGTCTCTAATCCATATGGCCGGATTGCATTAGTATGAATTTCATTGCTCTGGCCCTATATTTGTGTTAAATTGGGTATGAATTCCAACCGCCTCTTTTTTGCTGTGCTATTTCTTGTGAATTGGAGCTTAAGACATAAGCAGTACATAGACAGTGTATCTGACTACAGCCAAACAAATGCAGCGTTTAGTTACTGTCAACACTGTAAAAACAACTCCGTTAAACTTTAAGCTTGTTCTGCTGAAGGCAGTATGAGGAAATGATGCTCAGCAGGCATATATATATATCTGCGTGGCACCGAAACACCATTCCTCCACATAACACTACGTACGGCTTCGTGGTTTTTTTTACCGAGCGGTCAGTGTAGCCGTAAGCTGTGGAAATGGGCACAAGATGAAAAGTGTTCGCTCCATTCTTGTTCCCTGTGGCAGTGGAAGTGTGTGGGCAGCGGCAGAGCGAAGGCTTGTTCCTTTAAGGGTGGTGTCGGGGGCAGTCAGAGGAGGAGGAGGAGGAGGAGGAGTGTGGCAGTCTCCGCTCACTTCTCCACAGCCAGGGGACTCCGAGAATAAACAATTCCCACAGACTGCACGTTCCACACCGCAGCTCGCGCACAGTCGCAGTTTGAATTGGTTTCGCTTTTTTTTTTTTTTTTTTTGTCAGGAGCAAAATTTTTACCTTCCTTTTTTTTCCTCTTTCTTTTTTTTCTTCTTTTTGTCAAGCCCTCCTCGCCATTTCTGCCTGCTGCCAAAAGTGTCGCGGCCGCTTTCATTGGATTTGCCTCCCCTCCTGTCGAATAATAACGATGCGCCTCTCCGGCTGACTGTTGGGTGGACGAGCAGGTAGGGGAATGAATCTACGTGCCGCACATGAACGCACTGCCAAATATGTGGGAATTGTCGTTGTAAAAGCTGGTTTAGGTGGGGAAACACTCGGTCGACAGTATGTGGAGGATTATGACAGTTGAAATTATCTCTTGCTAAGGATGGGGTTGGCTGTTTTTGTGTCGTTGAAGTGGGCAGGGGCACATATGGACATACACAGTAGCGCTGACAAGGCTGCATAAAGAAGTGGCTGTGTGAGGCTGCCAGCCCTTTAGCTAACAGCCTTACGCTACCCGGTCCTCTCCGCCTAAAACCAGACCATTAAGCAAACGTTTATGAAGGGCTGTGTAAGTACATGTTGTCGAAGACACAGTTGCCATTACTAATTTTGACCGCGGATATCCTATAAGCCTCCCGCTAAGTGTGTTTGAGCTTACACTGATGGGAATTCCGGCTCATTTTTGAGATCCGGATAATTTGGCTCGTCTCACACGAAAGAGTCGGCTATTCCGGTTCTTTTAATTTGTTACGTGCAATTTCTTGATAATTAGAGTGTTTACTATTCCTGGAGATATAATAAACCGAATAAAAAGAGGCATTATCAAAAATATTAGTATAAGTGCAAACGCTTTTCAGGTTGATACCAATTTACGATTTTATAGGATTGATCTGGCAAGTCCAATGTAGGCTTCCTCTTTCCCATTTGTGCATCGAAGCAGATGCCCCCAATCCTTATTCATTTTAAAATAAGGCAGAAATAAAAAGTTAATTTCTCTATTGACTCTAAATGGTAGTAATTCTTAATTTTAGTGCATTTAATGAATAAGAATTAAATTATTTGACATTTTCAGCACTGGACCTGCTGAGCATGGTCTAGAGCCAAATAAAAGAGGAATTGTCTGATTCCAATCCCTGATTGAGTTCTGCATCTCTGAACAGTATACAGGTAAAATAAGGACCTTAACAAACTTTGTTCTGGGGATTTTTTTAATGTGGTCCATGCATGGCCATTGTTGGATTCTGCAATTCATACAACAACAGTGACCGTAATTGATCACATGACAGAATGTATGTTTTTTAAAAATATTTTTGCTGTTCATTTTTCTATATTGAAATTCTATAAAGCTGTTTTTAGTTCAGAAGACAGAAATAAATCTATTTATTTGTAGATGTTTAGATAATTTATGAATTCAAAGAATTTGAGTTTGATTACTTTTTTTTGTTTGTTTTGTTTTTTTTACAATTTTGAGTCATTTGTCTTTCTGCCGCTCCAAATTTCAACAGAAGTGAAAAGCAGTTAGACTGGACAACTAACTTGCACCAGACTGTGAGGCTTGACCAGAAAGTCATTATTTAATTTAGAAGAAATGTGTTACATTGCATTACATAAACAAATTATCTAAAAATATAGAAGATAAATTCAAACATAACCACATTCCTTCTGTCAACCAGGAGATTTCAGAATAGCAGTGAGTGCATCACATATTTGCATAAAGAAAATAATATCTTGAAAATAATATCCCCAAAACATAGTTATTTCTTATGATGCGTTTATTAAGAGTTTTTGACAGATATTCTTTATCTAGTTCAGAAACAAGAAACAGAAATGACTAAATTACCTTTAAAACTGTTAACAAAGCTATTAAACCCTGTAGTGTGGGTTTGGGAATCTGTCCAGGGTGAAATCAGATTCTCTTCAGGGGCCCAGCCCAGCCACAGTCCCCAAGCAGCCGCTAAGTGTGCTTATAACTACAGCCAGCCTTGACGAATATAAACGAAAACTGCAAATGTCCCTTTCTGAACATTATCTATCAATAAAATCTCTTAAATAGAAGGTTTTAACTTTAAAAACAGGTGTAAGAATGAGAACAGCATGTGTTGGAAATGGTGAATCAAATTACCTAAGTTATGTAATAATTTAAGCAGTATGTACTTGACAGGTTGTTCATAAACATTTTAACAGGTACTGTCTATATATCAGCTCATTACAGATTACTACTTGACATGAATTGCTTAGAAAATGGCGATAGGATTTATGTTAGTTTGTTGTACAGTCAGCGTTACATAAATAGCTTTCTGTGTGTTTTATAGAGCGATCCCTAACTCTGATATTTCTAAATTCTCTGTTAGTTATGACACACAGAGTACACAGAGTACTTTAGCCGTACTCTTTTTGGCCTTCCTGTTGTATGTTGAAAGTCTTGCTCTCTCTTGCTGTCTCGCAGCCTGAATAAAGAGTCATGTCATAGAAGAGACGGCTTCCTTTTGAAAAGCTCTTTTCTTCTGTTCCCTGTGAAATCCACTCAAACTGATCTGAAAATAGATCAGTTTGAGTCATCTTTGCCCACCTAAATGTTCTCATGAATGATTCATTCACTATTCAGGAAATAATACATTACTTTTGAGTTTCTGACATGCCAGTAACCCAGTGAGATTCTGATATTTCAGTGCTTCTCTGACGTCCACATAATACAGACACCTTAACTGAAAAACAAACATCATCAGGGCTCAGTGTGGGACGGTGCTTTCATAAAACCCACACAATAGCCTGTAGTTATGACTGGAGTCTACACCGTTGGAATGTAATTCACCAAACTGGCACAAAACTGTATTCTGTAAGTCACAGAGTACTTTTACCAGCTGTGTTTTTTTTTTTTGCTTTCCCCAATTACCTTTTTTTTTTCAAAGTTTTTATTTTTTATTTTTTACACGTTTGCCTCACTTTGCTGGAGCGGCGGGGGAGGGAACCGGAGCCAGAAGCTCAAACAGTGGTACCAGAGAGTAAACACTGTGGTAGAGGTTGTTACAAAATGTTGCATAGACTTGTTGCTACAACAGATCTCCCAACACAGCTGAGATGACATTCCTTCCTTTGGTCCATCATGGTCTGGAAACATGGCTTTGCTAATGATCTTCATTAATGCTGATTTAGTTTGTTCTTGCTACCTAAACTCCCCCCTGCCATGTCTTCTTGTCGGAAACCTTTGTCTGTTCCCCTCGTAGTTCATGAGAATAATCAACAGCCGGTTCTCCGGCGTAATCTATTCCTTTGTACCATCAGGTCAGATATATTTTTGATTGATTTTAAGTTGTTTTTTTATGTTGTTTCTGTTTTGGTCATTGACCAGCTGTGAGACTTTTGGAACGGACTCTTCGTAGGCGTTTTTGTTACTTCAGTGGACTTTGGATGAGTGCAGAGGCAGAGGTCAGGGCCGGAAGTTTTCTCAGAGCTGCAAGCAAGAGGGCAAAGTACAACTCCAATTCAGACTCTAAAAGGCTAAATTACCTTGCTTACTGGATAATTTGTGTCGTAACATCAGGTTGAATGAAAAAGTTCTTTCAGAAGTAAGTTGCAGCTCAAAAAAAAAAAAAAAAAAACACAACAATTTGAAGTGATATAAAAAAAGAGTGCAACTTTTTAAGTCCTGTCTGCGCCTGGAGGTCTGCCTTTTTAGCCTTTCTTTTGTCGAACATTTAAGCTGCTTAATTATTTGACCTGAACTCACACAAGATGTTCAAGGTAGCTTGGCTCGTCCTCTGCTGCCTTAGATTACTAAAACCTCCACACACACAGCCTGAATGCAAAAGCTGCTCGACAAAACGACCTTTTTTTTTTCTTTCTTTTTTTTTTCCTGGCCCGTGTGTTGTAGCTCAGTGTAAACCCGCGTGTCAGACGAACTTGATTTGCCTGAACCATCTGCTGTGGTGAGTGACGTGTAGTAAATAACCTGCAACCGACAGCAGAGAACATTCAAATGACCCGATGCAAATGATGTGAAGGCCGCTGAACAGTCACAAGACTGGACTCTGCACTTGTCTTCCTTGTGTACCGACTGCTTTTCATCACAGAAAAATCTTATCTGCCATCAAATAAAACTAGAATTGCTGTTGCTGCTGCCGTCGTGGGAACGTCGGGTGTTTTGACGTCTTCGTGGTCACACAGGTGTGATGAAAACACAGAATCTCATGCCGTTTTGCTACTCTGTCTTCTTAAGGGTTTCGGCGTGTTCCGGTGTGGCTGATTTCAGCAACAGATATTGAACAATCAGTCTCCTGTAAGCAGGTGGTCTCCTGCTTTTTGACGACTGTGATCCTCTGGAAGCAAGAGAGGAGATAGGATTAATGTATATTCCACCAGAGCAAGTGTTGTGCGTTTACTGCAGAGTTCTTGATTTATTATAGACCTGGGAGATGCCCAGCACTCGTGTTGTTGGCCACTGAACATTGTTCAAGGGCACTTTGACTGTTGAGGAGCAGCAGTACGTTTCTCATCTCCTTATGGGCCAGCACTTTTGTCAGCCCACTGGGGATTCAAACCACAGACCTTTAGGCCGCCGCCTCATTTCTCTAATTGTCTGGGCTCAATAATATCCACGTGGAGTGTCCATTCAGCCAAATGGTTTTATTGTTTATTCAGTAAACACTCCCCAACAATAGTTGGTGCAGAGCGCCGTTATTGGGCGGAGATGGTGTTTACAGCAATTAGGCTGTAAATTTCTTATTGGGATTGAAGCATTTCTCTCGGATTAACGAGACAAAAGTTGATGATGATCTGATGTTTTTACTGTTAATTTGAATCCATGCTTTTTTCCTCTGGAAATGCAATATCTATCCTCAGTTATCTATCAGACTTAAAGTCCTGTTAGTCTCGTGGTACGAAAACGGTGGTTAAGATTTAAAGCAAACATGTATCACAGTATCTGTTTTTTTTTTTTTTTCCTTCGGTAAAACGACAGCAACAATTACGAAAAGGCATATTTGTTGTTATGGTTTCATTAATGTTTATCGCCAGCAAAATTTTAGATCACTTTCTGCTGTGCTTTTTAAAGACTTGGAGTATAATGAGCTGATATTAGCTGGTTGATCATCAGAGTAGCTGCTCCTTTAGCCTGCAGCCATCTGCGAATCAGACCTGCAGCTTTTAGTTTGCAATTTGTAGATTTGAAACGGCATCCTCTAAATGAGGATGCCTGGCTCTAAATTAGTTTTGGAGCCAGCTCAACAGCAGTGACGAGCAA